TTGTGTGTGTGTAACTGTGTGTGTGTAACTGTGTGTGTGACTATGTGCGTGTCTGTGTGACTGTGTGTGTGTAACTGTGTGTGTGACTATGTGCGTGTCTGTGTGACTGTGTGTCTGTGTGACTGTGTGTGTGTAACTGTGTGTGTGTATAACTGTGTGTGTGTGTGTAACTGTGTGTGTGACTATGTGTGCGTCTGTGTGACTGTGTGTAAAACATAACTTGCAAATGACCCCCGTGTGTGTCTGGGCCCATATCTCGGTGTGTGTGTGTGTGTAACTGTGTGTGTGTAACTGTGTGTGTGACTATGTGTGTGTCTGTGTGACTGTGTGTGTGTAACTGTGTGTGTGTAACTGTGTGTGTGACTGTGTGTGTGTAACTGTGTGTGCCTATGTGTGTGTCTGTGTGACTGTGTGTGTGTGACTGTGTGTGTGTAACTGAGTGTGTGTGTAACTGTGTGTGTGACTGTGTGTGTCTGTGTGACTGTGTGTGTGTGACTGTGTGTGTGTAACTGTGTGTAGGTGTGTAACTGTGTGTGTGACTGTGTGTGTCTGTGTGACTGTGTGTGTGTAACTGTGTGTGTGTGTGTAACTGTGCGTGTGACTGTGTGTGTCTGTGTGACTGTGTGTGTGTGACTGTGTGTGTAACTGTGTGTGTGTGTAACTGTGTGTGAAACATAACTTGACAATGACCCCCGTGTGTGTCTGGGCCCATATCTCGGTGCGTGTGTGTGTGTGTAACTGTGTGTGTGTAACTGTGTGTGTGACTGTGTGTAACTGTGTGTGTAACTGTGTGTGTGACTGTGTGTGTGTGACTGTGTGTGTGTGTAACTGTGTGTGTGACTATGTGTGTGTCTGTGTGACTGTGTGTGTGACTGTGTGTGTGTAACTGTGTGTGTGTAACTGTGTGTGTGACTATGTGTGTGTCTGTGTGACTGTGTGTGTGTGACTGTGTGTGTGTAACTGTGTGTGTGTGTGTAACTGTGTGTGTGACTATGTGTGTGTCTGTGTGACTTTGTGTGTGTGACTGTGTGTGTGTGTCTGTGTGTGTGTGTGTCTGTGTGTGTGTGTGTCTGTGTGTATGTGTGTGTCTGTGTGTGTGTGTGTAACTGTGTGTGTGTGTGTCTTTGTGTAACTGTGTCTGTGACTGTGTGAGTGTGACTGTGTGTGTGTGTAACTGTGTGTGTGACTGTGTGTGACTGTGTGTGTGACTGTGTGTGTGTGTAACTGTGTGTGTGACTGTGTGTGTGACTGTGTGTGTGTGACTGTGTTTAACTGTATGTGTGTGTAACTGTGTGTGTGACTATGTGTGTGTCTGTGTGACTGTGTGTGTAACATAACTTGACAATGACCCCGTGTGTGTCTGGGCCCATATCTCGGTATCTCCCCGCGCACCTGGGCACGAGGTGGATGTTTGGAATTCCTCCCGCGAGCCGTCGATGATCTGCGGTTGTGGAACGCGGCGCTGATAGCTGTCGCAGGGGGGGTGGGGCAGGTTGCAGTTCGAGACCGGAGGCCACCCCGGATAATACTGCGGGAGCCTGCTGTGCATTGGACATTGAAGTTCGCACTCATACACAACACACTCATGCACAACACACTAATACACAACACAGTCATACACAATACACTAATACACAACACACGGTATACGAATACACAACACACGCATACACAATATACGATTACACAACACCTCACATTCATTATGCTAGTACACAACACACGCATACACAATACACTCATACACAATACACCCATACACACATATACTAATACACAATAGACTCACACACAATACACTCATACACAACACGCCCATACACACATATACTAATGCACAATAGACTCACACACAATGCACTCATACACAACACGCCCATACACACATATACTAATACACAATAAACTCACACACAATACACTCATACACAACACGCCCATACACACATATACTAATACACAATAGACTCACACACAATACACTCATGCACAACACGCCCATACACACATATACTAATGCACAACACACTCGTACACAATACACTCATACACAACACGCCCATACACACATATACTAATACACAATAGACTCACACACAATACACTCATACACAACACGCCCATACACACATATACTAATACACAATAGACTCACACACAATACACTCATGCACAACACGCCCATACACACATATACTAATACACAATAGACTCATACACAATGCACTCATACACAACACGCCCATACACACATATACTAATACACAATAAACTCACACACAATACACTCATACACAACACGCCCATACACACATATACTAATACACAATAAACTCACACACAATACACTCATACACAACACGCCCATACACACATATACTAATACACAATAGACTCACACACAATACACTCATGCACAACACGCCCATACACACATATGCTAATTCACAACACACTCGTACACAATACACTCATACACAACACGCCCATACACACATATACTAATGCACAGTAGACTCACACACAATACACTCATGCACAACACGCCCATACACACATATACTAATTCACAACACACTCGTACGCAATGCACTGCTGTATATTTGCAGCTCGCCTGTCTCTCTGCCCTTTGATCGCGTGGATTTGTCTCCGGGTCCTCCGGTTGTCCCTTCCGCGTGTAGAAGCGGCGTCACCGCCTTCAGATCATTTGGCTGCTGCTGTCAATGTCCACGTGGACGATCAGCCGCTTTCGTTGAGCTCATTATCATCTTCTTTGGTTCTTTCGCTAAAGTCACCACGTAGAATGAGAATAAAATAATAAATTGATAAAATAAAATAACACAATAATATTCTCACGACGTTTCGGCCGCAACACAAGCGGCCTTCATCGGGTGAAGGGGACGAGACCGAAAGAACCAAAGAAGATGAATCCTTGCAGTCACGAAAGCTTTCAATCGAAATCTCATTATCATCATTTGTGATTGCCAGGTCGCTTCTGCAAAAAAATTAAGAGCTATGTAGCTCAGCGGGGCCTTAACTGGTGAAGTAAAAAAATATAGTTGATAGTCTTATAATTGTAGCAGTAATTGCCGCGAGCGACGTGCCATTCCCACGTGGGTGGTGGTGGTGGCGGTGGTTGGCACAGTAGGGGCGGGCACAGGTGGTGCATCGGGCCAGTCATCTCGGTCATCTCAGTCAGGCGACCCGTGGCACCTGCTGGGTCTGCCCCGTGACCTCCTGCCGGCGGGCGTTCGACACTTCGCGTGGTCTCTCAACGTGCACCTAGCCTGGCACAAAGCGCCGTGGTGACATCACCGCCACTCAGTGGCGAATGGCGGTTGTTGTGTTGGTGGTGGTGGCGGCGGCGGCGGCGGTGGTGGTGGTGTGTGTCCCTTTGTTACGCTTGATGCACGCACCACCGTGCCATTAACCAGGGCGGCCTGCCGGAGTCGGACCGCGAACCTTTGCAACGCGCGCGTGCTGTGGGAGGCCGCGGTCGGGTTGAGTGCTGGGGGGGGGGGGGGGGTGGTGGAAGTGGTGGTGGAGGTGGTGGTGGAGGTAGACGTGGGTGGATGTGGTGGAGGAGATGGTGGGGGTGATTAGCAGGTGTCTCCTCATGTTGTAGCCGGCACTTCCCTCTTTGTGGGTAGGCGAGGGGGGGGGGGGCGGTGGTGGGAGAGGGGGGGGCGCTAATTTCTCAGGGGCCCCTTTGGTGATTTCTCCGTGGCTGTTCTGCGTCGCGTTGACCGTGACATCGCTCACTGCTCGCGGGGCGATGGCGGTGAGGTCATATTGTCCGATCGTTGTCGACACGAACACGATGACGACGATGATGATGACAATGAGCACGATAATGATGGCAATGACGATGACAATGACGATGATGATGCCAATGACGATAATGATGACAATGACGATGACAATGACGATGATGATGACGATGACAATGAGGATGATGATGACAATGAGGACGATGACGATGACAACAATGACGATGACAATGACGATGACAATGAGGACGATGATGATGACAATGACGATCACGATGACAATGAGGACGATCATGATGACGATCACAACGACGATGTCGTTCAATCGACTTGCCGTCACCCGTAACTCCGAGCTGAAAAGGTTTTTTTTTTTTTTTTGCAGAGCGCTTCCCAATATTTAAAAATCAAAATTCACTCCACAATCGCGACCTTCAGTGTGAAGAATGATCTTCTCAGGAAATCCAACGGCGACGTTGGTCACCCCGACGGACGGCGGCTCGGGCGAGCGACGCCAACGGATGCGGCGATCTCGCAGCCATGCGACACCCGCGGTGCCACGGAGTACCTTTCGCGTCGCTAATTGTCCGCGTGGAACAGTTTGCAGGGTCAGCGACGACGACGCGGACGAGCCTTCTCGCCCGCGACGCGGACCTTGTGCGCTGTTGAGCGCAGACCCCACGGGGCTCCGATGGACGCCGCTTCGCTTTTTGGTCCAGCCACTGCCGCCCTGTTTTGGTCCATCTTTGGGTCCACCGACTTGCTTCGCTGCTCGTTCAACGAATTTAACGAACGGCAGCCTTGCCGGTTGGCCCAACGACGGGGACGGAGCGGTTGAGCCATGGAGCCATGGAGCGAGCGAGCGAGCGATTGAGTGAGCGATGGAGCGAGCGATGTAGCGATGTAGCGGTGGAGCGAGCGACCGAGCGAGCGAGCGACGGAGCGATCGAGCGAGTGAACGACGGAGTGACGGAGCGAGGTGAACGATGGAGCGAGCGATGTAGCGATGGAACGAGCGATGTAGCGAGCGAGTGAGTGAGCGACGGAGCGAGCGAGCGAGTGAACGACGGAGCGAGTGAACGACGGAGCGAGTGAGCAACGGAGCGATCGAGCGAGTGAACGACGGAGTGACGGAGCGAGTGAACGACGGAGCGAGCGATGTAGCGATGGAACGAGCGATGTAGCGAGCGAGTGAGTGAGCGACGGAGCGGCCGTGCCGTGCGTGCGACGCAGGTTCCTGGCGGGTGCCCCGCGGAGCAAGGCGGACACGAAGCAGACGTCGCACAACACCGGAGCGCTCTTCTCCTGCCCCTTCACCCCTGACCCCTCCGACTGCGAGCGAGTCAACTTCGACATCAGTGGTGCGCGCGAGGGGGGGGGGGACACGGGGATGGGAGGGGGATGGGAGGGGGCATGAGGGATGTGAGGGGGATGTGAGGGGGATGTGAGGGGGATGGGAGGGGGATGGGAGGGGGATGTGAGGGGGATGTGAGGGGGATGTGAGGGGGATGTGAGGGGGATGTGAGGGGGATGTGAGGGGGATGTGAGGGGGATGTGAGGGGGATGTGAGGGGGATGTGAGGGGGATGTGAGGGGGATGTGAGGGGGATGTGAGGGGGATGGGAGGGGGATGGGAGGGGGCATGAGGGATGTAGGGGGGATGTGAGGGGGATGCTAGGGGGATGTGAGGGGGATGTGAGGGGGATGTGAGGGGGATGGGAGGGGGATGGGAGGGGGCATGAGGGATGCGAGGGGGATGGGAGGGGGCATGAGGGATGTGAGGGGGGCGTGAAGGATGCGAAGACACGAGGGGTCCGTGTGTTTGTGTGTGGGGGGAGTGCTGGTGCAGTGGTTAGCGCACCGCACTACGAACTCCACAACCCGAGTTCGATTCCCGTTCACGACCAACACCGATGACGACTATCTGAACCGGTCCTGGGCCTCCCCTAGGTCCAGTGCTTTGTATAAAACATCGCCACTGGGGAGACAAAGGTGGCCGGGCTCGGTGCTGGCCCACCCACCCCCGCGCGTGTGCCGTGCCGCGCTTCATAGGTGCTGCTCGCTTGAACAGCACTTGCCCCGAGGGTTTGTTAAGGCTACACGGGGCACCTTTGTCTTGTGTGTGTGTATATACCCGTGTGTGTGCGTGTGTGTGTGTATACCCGTGTGTGTGTGTATATATACCTGTGTGTATACCCGTGTGTGTGTGTGTATACCCGTGTGTGTGTTTACCCGAAACAACGAAAAGCCACTACGGGTGGCCACGTGGAATGTTCGAACGCTCACTGCAGAGGAGAGGCTGCCACTCCTCTGTCGGGAGCTGGACCGGTACCGCCTGGATCTATGCGGCATTCAGGAGGTCCGGTGGACCGGCTCTGGCTCCTGCCACCATGAGGGGTGGACAGTCCTCTACTCGGGGCAGCAGACTGCCAAACAACAGGGTGTGGGTCTTCTTTTGAACAAAAGAATGAAGGGGGCGTGGGAGCGTGGCGGTGAGGTGTGGGAAGCTGTAAGCCCCAGGCTACTTTGGGCTCGCCTTCCCATCAACCGGAGGCGAGGAATGGTGGTCGTGGTTACTTATGCCCCCACCGAAGATGAACATCCGTGGAGGGATGCAGGCAAAGCCGATGAGTCAGATGCCTTCTATGACCTCCTGTCACAGGTGCTGGCTAAAGTGGCCCCTCGGGATAGAGTCATCATGTTGGGTGACTTCAATGCCCGAGTTGGTCATGATACTGGCACCTGGTCTGGAGTGATTGGAGGGCATGGGCCAGATCAGCTCAATAACAACGGTAGGAGGCTGCTAGATTTTTGTGCAGCCCATGGGCTTGTAATTACCAACACACTGTTCCGGCATCGGCGCATCCACACAACATCATGGATGCATGCCGGGTCCAAGCAAGAACATCTGCTGGACTACATAGTGACGGACCAGCGAATGCGAGCCCATGTCCTTGACACCAGGACCTACCGTGGAGCTGATCTGCCCTCTGACCATCGACTAGTCATCTGTAAGATGCGCCTGCCATTCTTCCACTCCGGTGGTGGGTGTACACCCAGGACCCCATTCCAACCTAAAGTGGCCTGGTCTCAGTTATCTGATGAAAGTTGCAAGCGAGAATTTCATCATCGCTTGCGGCTGGGATTGGCATCGTCCCCGACTCCTCCTGATGTCGAGGGTAAATGGGCGAGGTTTAGGACTGTGACTCATGCAGCTGCAATGGCTGCTTTGGGTACACGGTCCAGACCTCCCCAGACACCCTGGATGACAGAGGAGTTGTTCAGGATGGTTGAGAAAAAGCGACAGGCCCACTGTCATCGGCTACAGAATCCCACGTCAGAGAATGAGGAGGCTTACCGCAGCCTTCGCTCGGAGGTTTGGAGAGCCGTGAGGCGCTGCAAGGATGGGTGGTGGTCGCGGGTTGCTGAGGAGATGGAGTCTGCCTCAGTGGCCCGTGATCACAAATCTCTATTTAACTCCATCAAAAAAGTAACCTGCAGCGCCACACCTATTACCATCATTAGGGGAAAAAACGGTGATCCAATTTCCGACCCCCAGGAACAGGTTCGCAGATTTGCTGAGCATTTCTGTGAGGTCCTGGGGAAGGGAAAATCCCTCAGCCAGGAAAACATCGTAGCACAAAGTGAGGATGACCCTGCTGAGGCTGCGGTGCCTCAAATATTGGATGAAGTCACCCCCTGTGAGTGGCTGGCTGAGGTGCCATCTGCTGAGGAAGTATTGAAGGCGATCCGGAGTCTGAGACCAGGAAAGGCAGCGGGCAGAGATGATCTCCCAAGCGAAATGCTGAGGGAGGGTGGCGTTTGTGCACAGACTGCCCTATATGACATCATAACAACAGTCTGGACCACTGGATGGGTTCCGCAGGATTGGAAGGATGCCCTGGTGGTCCCCCTTTTTAAGAAGGGGGACCGCACAGACTGTAACAACTACAGGGGCATCTCACTCCTCAGTGTGCCGGGAAAGGTCCTGGCAAGGATTATTCAGCATCGCCTTGCCAGGCACGCTGAGGAGAGGCTTGCGGAGCCCCAATGCGGTTTCAGGAAAGGGCGGTCCTGCACAGATGCCATATTTTCTGTCCGTCTGCTACAGCAGAGGTGTAGGGAATTCCAACAAGACCTACATCTCTGCTTTATTGACCTGGTCAAGGCCTATGATACCATCAGTAGGCCTGGGCTCTGGGTCGTTCTTCGTGCTTTTGGAGTACCTGACCCTCTGCTCACGATCATTAAGGACCTTCATGATGGTGAGCGGGCCCGGGTAAAACTACGTGGCCGGGAGTCAGAGCCATTCCCTGTACACCTTGGGGTGCGACAGGGATGTCCTCTGGCTCCCACATTATTTAACATCTATTTTGACCACGTAGTTCGTGAAGCCTTCAATAGTTGTACCGGGGGAATCTCCATATGGTACAGATATAATGGGAGGCTAATCGATGCCCGGGTGCGGTCAAGGGATGGCTCCCTATTGCTCAACCACGTTATGTATGCTGATGACTTGGTAATAGCTGCTCAGTCAGAGGAGGAGTTGGAGACGCTGCTGCTGAGACTGGAGCGTGCCACTAAGAGGTGGGGCCTTACCATCAGCCCCACCAAAACTAAGCACCTGCCTGGGTATTTTGTACCATCGGACACTCCACCCCCACAACTCCCAATCGGTGATGGGGCAGTTGTGGAGAGAGTGGAGAGTTTCCCATACCTGGGCAGTGTGCTTATGACTGGCTCCAGTTTAACAGCAGAGGTCTCACTCCGAATCAGTCGAGCGGCAATATCTTTTCATCGGTTGCGTAACGCTGTGTGGAAGCTACCTGGTCTGTCGCTCCGCACTAAGCTTCAGGTCTTCTCGGCCACGGTCATTCCCTCCCTTCTCTACGCTTGCGAAACGTGGACCCCCCTAATGGAACATCTTCGCCGGTTAGAAACATTTAGGCTGGCCTGCCTACGATCCATCCTGGGTTTAACCAGACTGGATTGTGTGAGGAGCTCACAAATCCTTGAAAGATCTGGGCAGGGTCCCATCGGTGAGCTCCTCCGGCAGGCAAGGCTGCGATGGCTGGGTCATGTAGCCTGCATGCCCAGCCACCGCATGCCGAAACAGCTTTTGTTTGGCCGGATTGAGGGGGCTAAGCGGGCGCGGCACGGGCTAGAGAAGAGATGGAGTGATGTGGTACAGGAGGACGTGGAGCTGAGTGGACTTGCCGATGACTGGTACCAGCGGTGTCAAGATCGGCCTCTGTGGAGGAGGCTCGTGAAGGATGCTACTGGGCAGTTGGAGGCAGTCGCCCTCCAACAACAACGGAGGGCGGAGGATCGACGCTCACAACAGCGAGCGGAGCGCCGGATGGCTAAAGCACAGCAGGTTGGCACAGTAGGGGGCACAGGTGGTGCATCAGCCAGTCATCTCAGTCAGTCGACCCGTGGCACCTGGGTCTGCCCCGTGACCTCCTGCCAGCGGGCGTTCGACACTTCACGTGGCCTCAGGGTGCACATAGCCTGGCACAAGCGTCGTGGTGACGTCACCGCCACTTAGTGGCGAATGGCGGTTGTTGTTGTTGTTGTTGTGTTTACCCGTGTGTGTATACCTGTGTGTGTATACCCATGTGTGTGTGTATACCTGTGTGTGTGTGTGTATACCCGTGTGTGTGTGTGTGTATACCTGTGTGTGTGTATACCCGTGTGTGTGTGTGTATATACCCGTGTGTGTGTGTGTGTGTTTACCCGTGTGTGTGTGTATATACCTGTGTGTATATACCCGTGTGTGTGTGTGTGCGTGCTTCCGGGGGGCAGAGTTTGTGGACAGGGAGAGCAAGGAGGACGAGTGGATGGGCGTCTCCGTGGCGAGCCAGCGAGCCGGCGGCATGGTCATCGTGAGTGCTGTGTAGTGACACTGCCAATGGGCAGCACGCGGCACACTGACATCCAGCACACTGACACCCAGCACACTGACACCCAGCACACTGACACTGACACACTGACACCCAGCACACTGACACCCAGTACACTGACACAGCACACTGACACAGCACACTGACACCCAGCACACTGACACCCAGCACACTGACACAGCTAACTGACACAGCACACTGACACCCAGCACACTGACACAGCACACTGACACCCAGCACACTGACACCCAGCACACTGACACCCAGTACACTGACACAGCACACTGACACAGCACACTGACACAGCACACTGACACACAGCACACTGACACCCAGCACACTGACACAGCACACTGACACCCAGCACACTGACACAGCACACTGACACCCAGCACACTGACACCCAGTACACTGACACAGCACACTGACACAGCACACTGACACACAGCACACTGACACCCAGCACACTGACACAGCACACTGACACCCAGCACACTAACACCCAGCACACTGACACCCAGCACACTGACACCCAGCACACTGACACAGCACACTGACACCCAGCACACTGACACCCAGCACACTGACACAGCACACTGACACCCAGCACACTGACACCCAGCACACTGACACCCAGCACACTGACACCCAGCACACTGACACAGCACACTGACACCCAGCACACTGACACCCAGCACACTGACACAGCACACTGACACAGCACACTGACACAGCACACTGACACCCAGCACACTGACACAGCACACTGACACCCAGCACACTGACACAACAACAACAACCGCCATTCGCCACTAAGTGGCGGTGACGTCACCACGACGCTTGTGCCAGGCTATGTGCACCCTGAGGCCACGTGAAGTGTCGAACGCCCGCTGGCAGGTGGTCACGGGGCAGACCCAGGTGCCACGGGTCGACTGACTGAGATGACTGGCTGATGCACCACCTGTGCCCCCTACTGTGCCAACCTGCTGTGCTTTAGCCACCCGGCGCTCCGCTCGCTGTTGTGAGCGTCGCTCCTCCGCCCTCCGTTGTTGTTGGAGGGCGACTGCCTCCAACTGCCCAGTAGCATCCTTCATGAGCCTCCTCCACAGAGGCCGATCTTGACACCGCTGGTACCAGTCATCGGCAAGTCCACTCAGCTCCACGTCCTCCTGTACCACATCACCCCATCTCCTCTCCAGCCCGCGCCGCGCCCGCCCAGCCCCCCCAACCCGGCCAAACAAAAGCTGCCTCGGCATGCGTCGGCTGGGCATGCGGGCTACATGACCCAGCCATCGCAGCCTTGCCTGCCGGAGGAGCTCACCGATGGGACCCTGCCCAGATCTTTCAAGGATTTGTGAGCTCCTCACACAATCCAGTCTGGTTAAACCCAGGATGGATCGTAGGCAGGCCAGCCTAAATGTTTCCAACCGGCGAAGATGCTCCATTAGGGGGGTCCACGTCTCGCAAGCGTAGAGAAGGGAGGGAATGACCGTGGCCGAGAAGACCTGAAGCTTTGTGCGGAGCGACAGACCAGGTAGCTTCCACACAGCGTTACGCAACCGATGAAAAGGTATTGCCGCTCGACTGATTCGGAGTGAGACCTCTGCTGTTAAACTGGAGCCAGTCATAAGCACACTGCCCAGGTATGGGAAACTCTCCACTCTCTCCACAACTGCCCCATCACCGATTGGGAGTTGTGGGGGTGGAGTGTCCGATGGTACAAAATACCCAGGCAGGTGCTTAGTTTTGGTGGGGCTGATGGTAAGGCCCCACCTCTTAGTGGCACGCTCCAGTCTCAGCAGCAGCGTCTCCAACTCCTCCTCTGACTGAGCAGCTATTACCAAGTCATCAGCATACATAACGTGGTTGAGCAATAGGGAGCCATCCCTTGACCGCACCCGGGCATCGATTAGCCTCCCATTATATCTGTACCATATGGAGATTCCCCCGGTACAGCTATTGAAGGCTTCACGAACTACGTGGTCAAAATAGATGTTAAATAATGTGGGAGCCAGAGGACATCCCTGTCGCACCCCAAGGTGTACAGGGAATGGCTCTGACTCCCGGCCACGTAGTTTTACCCGGGCCCGCTCACCATCATGAAGGTCCTTAATGATCGTGAGCAGAGGGTCAGGTACTCCAAAAGCACGAAGAACGACCCAGAGCCCAGGCCTACTGATGGTATCATAGGCCTTGACCAGGTCAATAAAGCAGAGATGTAGGTCTTGTTGGAATTCCCTACACCTCTGCTGTAGCAGACGGACAGAAAATATGGCATCTGTGCAGGACCGCCCTTTCCTGAAACCGCATTGGGGCTCCGCAAGCCTCTCCCCAGCGTGCCTGGCAAGGCGATGCTGAATAATCCTTGCCAGGACCTTTCCCGGCACACTGAGGAGTGAGATGCCCCTGTAGTTGTCACAGTCCGTGCGGTCCCCCTTCTTAAAAAGGGGGACCACCAGGGCATCCTTCCAACCCTGCGGAACCCGTCCAGTGGTCCAGACTGTCGTTATGATGTCATATAGGGCAGTCTGTGCACAAACGCCACCCTCCCTCAGCATTTCGCTTGGGAGATCATCTCTGCCCGCTGCCTTTCCTGGTCTCAGACTCCGGATCACCTTCAATACTTCCTCAGCAGATGGCACCTCAGCCAGCCACTCACAGGGGGTGACTTCATCCAATATTTGAGGCACCGCAGCCTCAGCAGGGTCATCCTCACTTTGTACCACGGTGTTTTCCTGGCTGAGGGATTTTCCCTCCCCCAGGACCTCACAGAAATGCTCAGCAAATCTGCGAACCTGTTCCTGGGGGTCGGAAATTGGATCACCGTTTTTTCCCCTAATGATGGTAATAGGTGTGGCGCTGCAGGTTACTTTTTTGATGGAGTTAAATAGAGATTTGTGATCACGGGCCACTGAGGCACACACAGCACACTGACACAGCACACTGACACAGCACACTGACACCCAGCACACTGACACAGCACACTGACACCCAGCACACTGACACCCAGCACACTGACACAGCACACTGACACCCAGCACACTGACACAGCACACTGACACCCAGCACACTGACACAGCACACTGACACACAGCACACTGACACAGCACACTGACACCCAGCACACTGACACAGCACACTGACACCCAGCACACTGACACAGCACACTGACACCCAGCACACTGACACAGCACACTGACACACAGCACACTGACACAGCACACTGACACCCAGCACACTGACACAGCACACTGACACCCAGCACACTGACACAGCACACTGACACAGCACACTGACACAGCACACTGACACCCAGCACACTGACACAGCACACTGACACAGCACACTGACACAGCACACTGACACCCAGCACACTGACACAGCACACTGACACCCAGCACACTGACACAGCACACTGACACACAGCACACTGACACAGCACACTGACACCCAGCACACTGACACAGCACACTGACACCCAGCACACTGACACAGCACGCGAACGTGTCGCGCACCCCTCCCCTCCTCCTCCTCATCCTCCCCCTCTCCTCCCCTGCTCCCTTCTCCTCACTACCCCCCCCCCCTTTCTCCCACCCGCCCCCCACCCCCCCGGGCACCCACGACGCTCATCACCCCAAGACGTGCGCCCACCGCTACGAGAACCGTGCCTACGTGGGCCAGCCAGACCAGGAGCAGCGCCACCTGGTGGGCCGCTGCTTCCTGCTCACCGACCTGCTGGTGCCGGCCGATGAACTCTTTTACTCCAGCTTCTGCAAGAACCGCGACATCCGTCCCGACGGGTTTGGCATGTGTCAGCAGGGCACGGCGGCGGGGTTCGTGCCCGACAGCGACTACATCTACTACGGGGCGCCCGGCACGTACAACTGGAAAGGTGGGCGGTGGTGGTCCAAGCGGCGGTGGTGGTGGTGGTGGTTATTGTGGTAGTGGTGGTGATGGTGGTGATGGTGATGGTTATTGTGGTAGTGGTGGTAGTGGTGGTGGTGGTGATGGCGGTGATGGTTATTGTGGTAGTGGTGGTGGTAGTGGTGGTGGTGGTGGTGGCGGTGATGGTTATTGTGGTAGTGGTGGTGATGGTGGTAGTGGTGGTGGTGATGGTGATGATGGTTATTGTGGTAGTGGCGATGATGGTAATGATGATGGTGGTGATGGTGATGATGGTTATTGTGGTAGTGGTGGTGATGGTGGTAGTGGTGGTGGTGATGGTTATTGTGGTAGTGGTGGTGGTAGTGGTGGTGGTGGTGATGGTGATGATGGTTATTGTGGTAGTGGTAGTGGTGGTGGTAGTGGTGGTGGTGGTGATGGTGATGATGGTTATTGTGGTAGTGGTGGTGATGGTGGTAGTGGTGGTGATGGTTATTGTGATAGTGGTGGTGATGGTGGTAGTGGTGGTGGTGGTGATGATGATGGTTATTGTGGTAGTGGCGATGATGGTAATGATGATGGTGGTGATGGTGATGATGGTTATTGTGGTAGTGGTGGTGGTAGTGGTGGTGGTGGTGGTGATGGTGATGATGGTTATTGTGGTAGTGGTAGTGGTGGTGGTAGTGGTGGTGGTGGTGATGGTGATGATGGTTATTGTGGTAGTGGTGGTGGTAGTGGTGGTGGTGATGGTTATTGTGATAGTGGTGGTGATGGTGGTAGTGGTGGTGGTGGTGATGGTGATGATGGTTACTGTGGTAGTGGCGATGATGGTAATGATGATGGTGGTGATGGTGATGATGGTTATTGTGGTAGTGGTGGTGATGGTGGTAGTGGTGGTGGTGATGGTTATTGTGGTAGTGGTGGTGGTAGTGGTGGTGGTGGTGATGGTGATGATGGTTATTGTGGTAGTGGTGGTGGTAGTGGTGGTGGTGGAGATGGTGATGATGGTTATTGTGGTAGTGGTGGTGATGGTGGTAGTGGTGGTGATGGTGATGATGGTTATTGTGGTAGTGGTGGTGATGGCTATTGTGGTAGTGGTGATGATGATGGTAATTGTGGTGGTGGCGATGATGATAATGATGATGGTGGTGGTGATGATGGTTATTGTGGTAGTGGTGGTGGTAGTGGTGGTGGTGATGGTGATGATGGTTATTGTGGTAGTGGTGGTGATGGTGGTAATGATGATGGTGGTGATGGTGATGATGGTTATTGTGGTAGTGGCAATGATGGTAATGATGATGATGGTGGTGGTGATGATGGTTATTGTAGTAGTGGCTATGATTGTAATGATGATGATGGTGATGATGGTAATTGTGGTGGTGGCGATGATGGTAATGATGATGGCGGTGGTGATGATAGTTTTTTTGGTAGTGGCGATGATGGTAATGATGATGGTGGTGGTGATGATGATGGTTATTGTGGTAGTGGCGATGATGGTAATGATGATGGTGGTGGTGGTGATGATGGTTATTGTGGTAGTGGCAATGATGGTAATGATGATGATGATGGTGGTGGTGGTGATGGTGACGATGGTTATTGTGGTAGTGGCGATGATGGTAATGATGATGGTGGTGGTGATGATGGTCATTGTGGTAGTGGCGATGATGGTAATGATGATGGTGGTGGTGGTGATGATGGTTATTGTGGTGGTGGCGATGATGGTAATGATGATAGTGGTGGTGGTGACGATGGTTATTGTGGTAGTGGCGATGATGATAATGATGATGATGGTGGTGGTGATGGTGACGATGGTTATTGTAGTAGTGGCGATGATGGTAATGATGATGGTGGTGGTGATGATGGTTATTGTGGTAGTGGCGATGATGGTAATGATGATAGTGGTGGTGGTGATGATGGTTATTGTGATAGTGGCGATGATGGTAATGATGATGGTGGTGGTGGTGATGATGGTTATTGTGGTGGTGGCGATGATGGTAATGATGATAGTGGTGGTGGTGATGATGGTGATTGTGTTAGTGGCGATGATGGTAATGATGATGATGGTGGTGGTGGTGGTGATGGTGACGATGGTTATTGTGGTAGTGGCGATGATGGTAATAATGATGGTGGTGGTGATGATGGTTATTGTGGTAGTGGCGATGATGGTAATGATGATGGTGGTGGTGATGATGGTTATTGTGGTAGTGGCGATGATGGTAATGATGATGGTGGTGGTGATGATGGTTATTGTGGTAGTGGCGATGATGGTAATGATGATGGTAATGATGATGGTGGTGATGATGGTGGTGATGGTGGTAGGGGCGATGATGGTAATGATGATGGTGGTGGTGATGGTAATGACGATGGTGGTGGTGATGATGGTTATTGTGGTAGTGGCGATGATGGTAATGATGATGGTAATGATGATGGTAATGATGATGGTGGTGATGATGGTGGTGATGGTGGTCACAGATTCGGCTTCTTCGTTCTTGCTCATCGTCTTCGTCTGACGAGGTGGTGATGATGATGATGATGGCGTTGGTAATAACCATGATGATGGATGTCATGGCAGTGGCGATGGTGATGATGGTAATGATAGTGGTCGTGGTGGTGGTGGTGGTTGGGATGATGGTGGTGGTGGTGGTGTTGATGATAACAATGATGGTGATGATGGTGGTAATGATTATGGTAATGATGATAATTGGTGGTGGTGTTGATGATAACAATGATGGTGATGATGGTGGTGGTGATAACACTGATGGTGATGATGGTGGTGGTGATGACAATGATAACAGTGATGGTGGTAATTATGATGGTTATGATGGTGGTGGTGGTGATGATGATGGTGATGATGGTGGTAATGATGATGGTAATGATGATAATTGGTGGTGGTGGAGATAACACTGATGGTGATGATGATGGTGGTGGTGATGACAATGATAACAGTGATGGTGGTAATTATGATGGTTATGATGATGGTGGTGATGATGATGGTGATGATGATGGTAATGATGATGGTAATGATGATGGTGATGATGATGGTAATGATGATAATTGGTGGTGGTGTTGATGATAGCAATGATGGTGATGATGGTAATTATGATGGTGATGATGGTGGTAATGATGATAATTGGTGGTGGTGGTGGTGTTGATGATAACAATGATGGTGATGATGGTGGTGGTGATGACAATGATAACAGTGATGGTGGCAATTATGATGGTTATGATGATGGTGGTGGTGGTGGTGATGATGATGATGGTAATGATGATGGTGATGATGATGATGGTGATGATGATGATGGTAATGATGATGGTAATGATGATGGTGATGATGATGGTAATGATGATAATTGGTGGTGGTGTTGATGATAGCAATGATGGTGATGATGGTAATTATGATGGTGATGATGGTGGTAATGATGATAATTGGTGGTGGTGGTGGTGGTGTTGATGATAACAATGATGGTGATGATGGTGGTGGTGATGACAATGATAACAGTGATGGTGGCAATTATGATGGTTATGATGATGGTGGTGGTGGTGGTGGTGATGATGATGATGGTAATGATGATGGTGATGATGATGGTAATGATGATAATTGGTGGTGGTGGTGTGTGCAGGAATTGTTAGAGTGGAACAGTGGAACAAGACCCTGGCAAAGGATGCGATTTACCTGGACCCGCAGGAGACTGGCGATGAAAAGAAAATGAATCAAGAACTTATCCCTCTGGCTTTCCACAGCTACCTGGGTACAACACGCACACACACAGACAACGATCCCTCCCCCCCCATATAGGCTGACCATACTATGGGAGGGGCAAGTGCTGTTAGCGAGTAGCGCCTATGAAGGCCGGCACGGCACACGAGGTTGTGGGGTTACCAACACCCTGTCAGGCCACCTTTGTCTCCCTTTGTCTCCCGAGTGCTGATGTTTTACACACCGCACCGGGTGCTCGTTTTTTTAAGGCTGAGTTGACCTAGGGGAGGCCCAGTACCGGCTCAGATATTTGCCATTGATGTTGGCCACAGCGCAGTGCTCTAACCACTACACGACCACCACCCCCCCGTCCCACCTCTACACAAAGACAAAGATCCCCCCGTTAGCCTTAACAGCCTGTTGGGGCAAGTGCTGTTAGCGAGTAACACCTATGAAGACCGGCACAACACATGACGTGGTTGTGTGGCCAGCACCACGCCCGGCCGCCTTTGTCTCCCCAGTGGCGGTGTTTACACACCGCACCAGGTACTCATTTGAGGCTGAGTCGACATAGGGGAGGTCCAGGACTGCTTCGGATAATCGTCACCGGTGTTGGTCGTGAGCGAGATTCGAACTCGGCCCGCCGGGTTCGTAGCAACAGCGTAGCGCCAACACGCTGCACTCCCTCTCTCCACACACACACACACGTACTTACACACCACCGCCGTCATCATCGTCATCCCCGGCCATGTATGTGTACGTATGTCGAACTTCTTTCGCACCCCACGCACCCAACTGTTGCTGAAATGCCACGGTCAATCCGCTGCTGGATGAAGGCCTCCCGCACGCCGTCACGAGTCCTCATGGTCTTGCGATGCGGCGATCCATCACGATGTCGCGCCCGAGGGGAACTCATCGCTCCGTCTCCATGGGGCGCGTCCTGTCGGGCGCGTTCTGTCCTTTGTCATCTTGTTGTTGGCCTGGTGCCGTGCGGTGGCCAGGAGATGTTAACGCCCTCGCCTGGTATGCAGGAGGTCGTGGATTCAATCCCGACCCTGACGACGCCTGGTGGATATTTGGAGTTTGCTTGTCTCTCTCTCTCTCATCACGATGGCTAGGAGATGTTAACTACCTCGCCTGGTATGCAGGAGGTCGTGGATTCAATCCCGACCCTGACGACGCCTGCTGGATATTTGGAGTTTGCGTGTCTCTCTCTCTCTCTCATCACGATGGCTAGGAGATGTTAACTACCTCGCCTGGTATACAGGAGGTCGTGGGTTCAATCTCGACCTTGACGCCTGCTGCTGTATATTTGGAGTTTGCGGTGTCTCTCTCTCTCCCCGTTGTCACGTGGATTTTTCTCCGGTACCTCCGGTTTTCCTCCTCCACATTGAGAATCAACGTCGCGCGTTCGGAGCATTTGGCTGCTGTACATTTCCAAATGATGATAATGATGATGAGCCACTTCATGGAGCTATCATTTGCGATATCCAGGTCGCTTCTGAAAGAAAGAGCTTCATAGCTCTGTGGGGCCTTACCTGGTAAAATAAAAGATAGTTTTATAGTTTGTATAGTTTGCTATATATATGTATACACACGTGTCTTCGGTCAGAAACGGTTTAGTTTAATCGTTTAATAATTTTAACAATAATTTCTTGGAACGCCGTGCTCCCTGCCCACGCGTAAATGACATCTCTCGTCAAGTCGGCACGACGCCTCCGCCAAAAGCCCCCCACCCCCCACCCCCCCACCCCCCCCTCTGTGCAATCGTCTTGCGCAACTCGGGTAGCACATGCAACCGGTCGCTCAAGTTGTCGAGTTTTATTTTCTTGGTTTGAACGGCCGCGAGAACCCCAAGAGAGAGAGAGAGAGCGCCCGGGGTGAGGTCTCGCTTTGCAATAGAGCCACCGGGCCCTGGGCCACCAAACGTGGCGAGAGCAAAGGCGAATTCTTATTTTCTGAACTGTTAACGGCGACTGAGCGTTCAGGGGCAGCAGCAACAACAACAACAACAACGACAACAACAACGACAACAACAACAACAACAACGACGACGACGACAATGACGACGACGAGCAAACACAACAAACCACGCCACGCGTGATAAATCGAAAATGTTGCAACGAACGTAAAAACAAAAGTTCGACGTGAAATTAGAATAATAATAAGCTAGAGTTCCTGGACGTGTAATGAGAATGAATGTATTTATAGCTGGAGGAGGAATCCGATGAGCTATGAAGCTCTTCTTGTCACAGATGTCCAGTAGGGGTACGGGGCGAGAACGTCACAACGTCAACAAGCAGTACAAACACACAGGAAAGTAGTGCAAAGTACAAGAAAGTTGAACAAATCACCCAAACGCAAACAAATACAAACACGAGACCATCCCCATTCAGGCAGGCAAAGCCCCACTGAGATTTTTCGATTTAAAAGCTGTCGTGACTGCAAGGATTCATCTTCGTTGGTTCTTTTCGGTAAAGTCACCACGTGGAATGAGAATAAAATAATAAAATAAAACAATACAATTCTCACGACGTTTCGGCCACAACACAAGTGGCCTTCCTCATGGTGAAAGGAACAAACCTGTCGGGACGACAGAGAGAATTGTATTGTTTTATTTTATTATTTTTTCTCATTCATTTTATTCTCATTCTACGTGACCCCACTGAGACATTAACTTATTGTTCAGAAGCGACCTGGCCACCACAAATGACGGTTTGACAAAGCGGGCCAATCATTTGGACATTCATAGCAACAAAATAATCAACAAAGCGATAATAGAGAGGATTCTAGATTTGAAGCTTTCGTGACTGCAAGGATCCATACTCTTTGGTTATATTCGGTAAAGTCACGTGACTTTACCGAATAGAACCAAAGAGAATAGAGAGGATTTTGGAGTTAGATCGAGTAGATATATAAATGTGTCGTCAGAACCCGCCACCACCCGACACGGCCAACTAGTAAGGAGTTGTCACGTAAACAGAACGTGGACAATTCGTCACTAGTGCAGCAACACCGGTGCGCTGGAGAGCCAAGCCGCAACATTTACAATCCGAGTTCGACGTTTCGCCGGTAATTACAACCAGCTTCATCAGGCGACAGCCAGATTTGTGGAGAAGTCTTCCCGTTCCGTTCCTTATATAGAGGCGTAGATGTGGTGACCAGCCTTCTGCGCTCTTGCACAATGTGGGGGGTGGGGGAGGGGGGGGGGGGTTGGATTACTGGGATTAAAGCGGCCCATCATTAGGCCATCCATAGCACCAAAATAATCAACAAATCGGCGCCATTTGTGACGGCCAGGTTGGCTTCTGAATAAGAGCTGCACAAGCCCAAGTGGGCCTCGCCTGGTAAAAATAAAGGATAAAAGTAAAAATTGTAAAAAAAAAAAAAAAAAAATTTTAAAATGTTACCGCGGTTACATTTCCACCCACCCCTGGCCCCCTCCTCCACCAGGTTACTCGCTGGACGGGAGCCGCGGTGTGACGAACCGCGTCAACGTGTCCTTCCTGGCGGGCGCCCCGCGCGCCAATCACACGGGCGCCGCGCTGCTGCTCAAGGCCAGCGGGCAGGCGGTGCTCATCCCCGAGCTGCTCATCACGGGCCAGCAGCTCGGCTCCGGCTTCGGCTACGACGTGGCGCTCGCCGACCTCAACGGCGACCGGTGAGCCGCGGCCGTGGTCGCAGACGCGGCCGTAGTAGACACTGCCATAGTCACAGCCGTAGTCGATGACACTGCCATAGTTGTAGACAGAGTCGTAGTTGTAGACGTAGTTGTAGTTACAGCCGTAGTCGTAGTTGTAGACATTGTAGACACTGCCATAGTCACAGCCGTAGTCGATGACACTGCCATAGTTGTAGACAGAGTCGTAGTTGTAGACGTAGTTGTAGTTACGGCCGTAGTCGTAGTTGTAGACGTAGTTGTAGTTACAGCCGTAGTCGTAGTTGTAGACATTGTAGACACTGCCATAGTCACAGCCGTAGTCGTAGACACTGCCATAGTTGTAGACGCGGTCGTAGTTGTAGACGTAGTTGTAGTTACGGCCGTAGTCGTAGTTGTAGACGTAGTTGTAGTTACAGCCGTAGTCGTAGTTGTAGACATTGTAGACACTGCCATAGTCACAGCCGTAGTCGTAGACACTGCCATAGTTGTAGACGCGGTCGTAGTTGTAGACGTAGTTGTAGTTACAGCCGTAGTCGTAGTTGTAGACGTAGTTGTAGTTACAGCCGTAGTCGTAGTTGTAGACATTGTAGACACTGCCATAGTCACAGCCGTAGTCGTAGACACTGCCATAGTTGTAGACGCGGTCGTAGTTGTAGACGTAGTTGTAGTTACAGCCGTAGTCGTAGTTGTAGACGTAGTTGTAGTTACAGCCGTAGTCGTAGTTGTAGACATTGTAGACACTGCCATAGTCACAGCCGTAGTCGTAGACACTGCCATAGTTGTAGACGCGGTCGTAGTTGTAGACGTAGTTGTAGTTACAGCCGTAGTCGTAGTTGTAGACGTAGTTGTAGTTACAGCCGTAGTTGTAGTTGTAGTCGCAGCCGTAGTCATAGTCACAGCCGTAGTCGTAGACGCAGCCGTAGTCGTAGACACAGCCGTAGTCGTAGTTGTAGACGTAGTTGTAGTCTTTGGTTCTATTCGGTAAAGTCACGTAGGTAAAAAATAAAACAACAAAAATCACGACGTTTCGGCCACAACACAAGTGGCCTTCATCAGATGAAGGGACCAGACTGTCTCGAGGACAGCGCTGGAGTGAACACAGCCAAGCTCAGACCGCGACCTTTAAGCTGTGTGAGAAGAAACAGAGCGCCTTGACAAAGCAATTAGCATAAAAATTAGCATTTAATTGGCGGACTTAGCATGATGAACGGTGTAGAGGGGGTGAACATGTGCAGGTCGGCGAGGGGGGGAGTTTACATATTGATGGTGTGAAAAGGGAATTTTAAGAAGCTGCGAAAGTTTGGGGTACCACTACTTGAAAAAATATACTGTACCATTGAAAATTAGTTTAATGTTTGGTTCGATTTAGAACCAAACACTCACGGCCAACACCAGTGACGATTATCTGAACCGGTCCCGGGCCTCCCCTAGGTCGACTCAGCCTCAAATGAGTACCTGGTGCGGTGTGTAAACTTCGCCACTGGGGGAGACAAAGGCGGCCGGGCGTGGCGTTGGCCACCCACCCCCTCGTGTGCCGTGCCGGCCTTCATAGGTGCTCGCTAACAGCACTTGCCCCTACAGTCTGTTAAGGCTATATGAGGGATCTTTATCTTTGTTGTTTTTGTGCGAGTGTGTGTGTGTGCGAGCGTGTGTGTGTGTGCGTGTGTGTGTGCGTGTGTGTGCGTGTGTGTGTGCGAGCGTGTGTATGCGTGTGCGTGTGTGCGTGTGTGTGCGTGTTTGTGTGTGTGCCTGTGTGTGTGCGTGTTTGTGTGTGTGCCTGTGTGTGTGCGAGCGTGTGTGTGCGTGTGTGTGCGTGTGCGAGTGCGTGTGTGTGCGAGTGTGTGTGTGCGTGTGTGTGTGAGTGTGTGTGTGTGCGAGTGTGTGTGCGAGTGTGTGTGTGCGAGTGTATGTGTATGTGTGTGCGAGTGTGTGTGAGTGCATGTGTGCCTGTATGAGTGTGTGTGTGCGAGTGTGTGTGTGCGAGCGAGCGAGTGTGTGAGTGTGTGTGTGCACGTGCGAGTGTGTGTGTGTGAGTGTGTGTGAGTGTGTGTGTGCGAGTGTGTGCGTGTGTGTGTGCGTGCGTGTGTGCGTGTGTGTGCGTGTGAGTGTGTGCGAGTGTGTGTGCGTGAGCGTGTGTGAGCGTGTGCGTGTGTGTGCGTGTGTGTGTGTGCGAGTGTGTGCGAGTGTGTGTGAGTGTGTGTGTGCGTGCGAGTGTGTGCGAGTGTGTGTGTGCTCGTGCGAGTGTGTGTGTGTGTGTGTGCGAGTGTGCGTGTGCGTGTGTGCGTGCGTGTGTGTGTGTGCGTTTGTGTGAGTGCGTGTGTACGTGTGCGAGTGTGTGTGAGTGTGTGTGTGTGCGTGTGTGTGTGTGAGGGGTAGTGTAGCGGTTAGCGCGCTGTGCTATGAACCTGGCGACTCGGGTTCGATTCCCGCTCACGGCCAACACCAGTGACGATTAGTTGAACCGGTCCCGGGCCTCCCCTAGGTCGACTCAGCCTCAAATGAGTACCTGGTGCGGTGTGTAAACATTGCCACTGGGGAGACAAAGGCGGTCGGGCGTGGTGCTGGCTACCCACCCCCTCGTGTACCGATCCGGCCTTCATAGGTGCTCGCTAACAGCACTTGCCCCAACAGTCTGTTAAGGCTATATGGGGGATCTTTGTCTTTGTCTTTGTGTGCGCGTGCGAGTGTGTGAGTGTGTGAGTGTGTGTGCGTGTGTGCGTGTGTGCGTGTGCAATCCTTGTCCATGTATACACAGTGGGGAGCGGCGGTGGCAAAGCGACTTCGCCCCCACCCCCCCCCGCTGAGCTACAAACCCAGTGGCCCTGGTCAGCACCAGCGGTCCTGGGTCTCCCCTAGGTCAGCGCAGCCTGAAACGAATACATGGCATGGTGTGTAAACGTCAGCGCCACCGGGGAGACAAAGGCGGCCCCGGGCATTGGCACGCCGGCCACTCGCCCCCTCGTGTGCCGCGCCGGCCTTCACAGGCGCTGCTACTCGCTAACAGCGCTTGCCCCAACGGTCTGTTAAGACTACACGGTGGGGGGTGGGACCTTTGTCTTTGTAGCTGGATGGAGGTGCTGGTGAGCGCGCCCAACTACTTCAGCCGGCGTGACGAGGCGGGGGGGCGCCGTCTACGTTTACCGCAACCGGCAAGGCAACGTCGTGCTGGAGAAGCCCACGGTGCTCACGGGGCCCCCGTACTCCGCCTTCGGCACCGCCGTGGCACGAGCCGGCGACCTCAACCAGGACGGCTTCCAGGGTACGCGGTGGCGCCGGCACGATGGGCGTCATGGGGTGCCACGGGCATCACCGGTGCCACGGGTGTCGTGGGCATCACGGGCATCACCGGTGCCACGGGTGTCGTGGGCATCACGGGCTTCACCGGTGCCACGGGTGTCACGGGCATCACAGGCATCACCGGTGCCACGGGTGTCGTGAGCATCACGGGCATCACCGGTGCCACGGGTGTCGTGGGAATCACGGGCTTCACCGGTGCCACGGGTGTCGTGGGCATCACGGGCATCACCGGTGCCACGGGTGTTGTGAGCATCACGGGCATCACCGGTGCCACGGGTGTCACGGGCATCACGGGCATCACCGGTGCCACGGGTGTCACGGGCATCACGGGCATCACCGGTGCCACGGGTCTCATGGGCATCACGGGCAAAACCGGTGCCACGGGTGTCACGGGCATCACGGGGCACCAGAGGCATCGCCGGTGCCACGGGCGTCATGGGCATCGTGGCATCACAGACATTACGGATGCCACGTGTATAATGCGCATCACGGGGGTCCCCCGGGCATCACGGGACGCCGCTGGGCACCGACGGCGCCGGCCCACGCTCTGCCCGTGGGCGACTTTCGCCCTTCGCTTTCGCTTCCGGAAGCTCCGTCGCCGCCGCCGTCGAAGATGCGCCGTCGCCCGCCGTGAGTGACGGCTTCTCGCGCGCCTTGCGCGGCTCCTCTCCTTCGTTCGCAGACATCGCCATCGGAGCTCCGTTCGCCGGCAGCGGCAAAGTCTACATCTACCACGGCGGCAAGGGCGGCATCGCCACCGAGCCCGCCCAGGTCAGCCGGCGGAACGGAAAGTTGAACGCGCGGTCGGGCTTCCGCGACCGATGTCATCCACGAGCGAGGTTTTTTTTTCGTGGGGTGTTTGATCGCGTCAATGCAAACGTGTCGCCAAACACGCCGCCACCCGTAAATGTCGTGGGTTTACTCTCCGACACACCGGTGTGCTGCACTAGTAACGAATTGGCGAACCTTTGCTAGTTATCCGCGTCGGGTGGTGGCGGGTTTAACGACACATTTATATTCACTCGACCCAACCCAAAAGCTCCGTTGACCGGGCTTCACCATGCTGCTCAGTGTGGGGTTTGGTGAAAGGGGGTTGGGGGGGCGGTGTAGGGGGCGGGGTGGAGGGCCTACAATGTTGTTGGGGGGGAGGGGGGGGGGGCTTTGACGATGCGGAAGATGTTACGTAGAAGATATATGGGACACGTGCAGGCTGAGTGTAGCTGTGTGGAGGAGCTGTAGCTGACGGGACACGTGGAGGCTGAGTGTAGCTGTGTGGAGGAGCTGTAGCTACAGGTGACACGTGGAGGCTGGGTGGAGCTGTGTGGGGGAGCTGTAGCCCTGGTGACACGTGGAGGGTGAGTGTAGCTGTGTGGAGGAGCTGTAGCCCTGGTGACACGTGGAGGGTGAGTGTAGCTGTGTGGAGGAGCTGTAGCTACAGGTGACACGTGGAGGCTGAGTGTAGCTGTGTGGAGGGGCTGTAGCCCAGGTGACACGTGGAGGCTGGGTGGAGCTGTGTGGGGGAGCTGTAGCCCTGGTGACACGTGGAGGGTGAGTGTAGCTGTGTGGAGGAGCTGTAGCCCTGGTGACACGTGGAGGGTGAGTGTAGCTGTGTGGAGGGGCTGTAGCCCAGGGGACACGGGGAGGCTGAGTGTAGCTGTGTGGTGGGGCTGTAGCCCAGGTGACACGTGGAGGCTGAGTGTAGCTGTGTGGAGGGGCTGTAGCCCTGGTGACACGGGGAAGCTGAGTGTAGCTGTGTGGAGGAGCTGTAGCTACAGGTGACACGTGGAGGCTGGGTGGAGCTGTGTGGGGGAGCTGTAGCCCTGGTGACACGTGGAGGGTGAGTGTAGCTGTGTGGAGGGGCTGTAGCCCAGGGGACACGGGGAGGCTGAGTGTAGCTGTGTGGTGGGGCTGTAGCCCAGGTGACACGTGGAGGCTGAGTGTAGCTGTGTGGAGGGGCTGTAGCCCTGGTGACACGGGGAAGCTGAGTGTAGCTGTGTGGAGGAGCTGTAGCCCTGGTGACACGGGGAGGCTGAGGGTAGCTGTGTGGAGGGGCTGTAGCCCAGGGGACACGTGGAGGCTGAGTGTAGCTGTGTGGAGGAGCTGTAGCCCTGGTGACACGTGGAGGCTGAGTGTAGCTGTGTGGAGGAGCTGTAGCTGACGGGACACGTGGAGGCTGAGTGTAGCTGTGTGGAGGAGCTTTTATTTCCCTCTGGCCAGCAGTGGCACGAGCAAAGACATTTCAGGGCTTGCGCCTTTATTTATACACATACGTTTATATTGTGCGTGTGTGTGGGGGGGTGGCGGGGGGTAACAGGTGATCTCGGGCCAGGAGCTGAAGCCGCCAATTACCCAGTTCGGCTTCTCGCTCTCCGGCGACATGGACGTTGATGACAACACCTACCCGGACCTCCTGGTCGGCTCCATGTCCGACAAGATCGCCGTGCTGCGGTGAGCTTGCCGGGGAGGCGGCCACAAGGACATTCCGTCGCCACGGGGATACGATGGCGTAACCCCGCCCGCCCGCCTGCCCGCCCCTCCCACCATCGTCAACATCACCATCGTCAACATCACCATCGTCAACATCACCATCGTCAACATCACCATCGTCAACATCACCATCGTCAACATCATCATCGTCAACATCACCATCGTCAACATCACCATCGTCAACATCACCACCGTCAACATCACCACCGTCAACATCACCACCGTCAACATCACCACCGTCAACATCACCACCGTCAACATCACCATCGTCAACATCACCATCGTCAACATCACCACCGTCAACATCACCATCGTCAACATCACCATCGTCAACATCACCATCGTCAACATCACCATCGTCAACATCACCATCGTCAACATCACCATCGTCAACATCACCACCGTCAACATCACCATCGTCAACATCACCATCGTCAACATCACCATCGTCAACATCACCATCGTCATCGCCACAACGAACACCCATTGCCGACTTCGCCAACGTCGTCGTCAACGTCACCAACAAAGTCAACTTCACCAAATGGTTGCAACTCTTCAACTAAACCATTACATCTTCTTGGTTCTTTCGGCAAAGTCCCGTAGAATGGGGATAAAATAAAAAAAATAAAAAATTCTCATGACGTTTCGGAGGCAACACAAGCTTCCGTCTTCAGGTGGGACAGTCACAGCAAGATCCCCATTCTATGTGACTTTACCGAAAGAATCAAGAAGAAGAATCCCTGCAGTCACGAAAGCTTTAAATCGAAATATAAACCATTAGAATTATTAAACTTTTTTATTGGTATCACCACCATCGTCAACATCACCACCACCACCACCAACATCATCAATATCACCACTACCAAAATCATCAACATCATCACCACTACCACCACCACCAACATCATCACTATCACCACCAACATCACTATCACCACCACCAATATCATCACTATCACCACCAACATCACTATCACCACCACCACCAACATAATCACTATCACCACCAACATCACTATCATCACCACCACCAACATCATCAACATCATCACCACCACCAACATCATCACTATCACCACCAACATCACTATCACCACCACCACCAACATCACTATCACCACCACCAACATCATCACTATCACCACCAACATCATCACTATCACCACCAACATCACTATCACCAACAACATCATCACTATCACCACCAACATCAATATCACCACCACCACCAACATCATCACTATCACCACCAACATCACTATCACCACCACCACCAACATCATCACTATCACCACCAACATCACTATCATCGCCATCAACATCACCAGCCATAACATGACCCAATCGCCAGTAGACGATCCCAAACAACGAGATCTATACCCCTCTGACCGAAGACACGGATTTATATATAACACAAAAACAACTATCAACTTTTTTTTTTATTTCACCACGTGAGGCCCCACTGAGCTGCCACATAGCTCCTTTTCAGCAGCGGCTATCTGGAATGACAGCTCAACGAAGTGTCTCACCCTCATCACGTGGACATTCATAGCAGCAGCCAAAGACTCTGAACGCGTGATGATGTTGATTCTAAATGTGGGTGTGTGGGGGGAGGGGAAACCGGAGAACCTGGAGAAAAATCCACGCGACCACGGGGAGAGAGAGAGAACATGCAAGCTTCAAATATACACCAGCAGGCGTCATGGTCGGTATCGAACCCACAGCCTCCCGTATGCCAGGCGAGGTGGTTAACATCTCATCGGAGAGCTATACAGCACACCTGCGAAACCTATACTGGAATGATTATTTAAATCTCCGGTTATAACCACTGGTTCTAATAGTGTAATGGGGCAAACATGACCACCAGAGGAGACATAGATGGCAGCAGATCAGGCGCCGGAGTTGGCCACACCACACCACTCCCTCGTGCGCCGTGCCGGCCTTCGTACGCGCTGCTACTCGCTGACCGGGGGATCTTCTTTGTCTTCATTAGGAGCCGTCCCATCGTGCGAGTGACTCACAACATCACCGTGTCTCCTGAGCTGCTGGACGCCAGCGAGAAGAACTGCGGTTCGTACACATGGTGAGTGTCTCTCCGTCGCCGCGGTGAGCATCTCTCCGTCGCCGCGGTGAGCGTCTCTCCATCCCCGCGGTGAGCGTCTCTCCGTCGCCGCGGTGAGTGTCTCTCCGTCGCCGCGGTGAGCGTCTCTCCATCCCCGCGGTGAGTGTCTCTCCTTCCCCGCGGTGAGCGTCTCTCCATCCCCGCGGTGAGTGTCTCTCCATCCCCGCGGTGAGCGTCTCTCCATCCCCGCGGTGAGTGTCTCTCCATCCCCGCGGTGAGTGTCTCTCCGGCGCCGCGGTGAGTGTCTCTCCGTCGCCGCGGTGAGCGTCTCTCCGTCGCCGCGGTGAGCGTCTCTCCGTCGCCGCGGTGAGCGTCTCACCGTCCCCGCGGTGAGCGTCTCTCCATCCCCGCGGTGAGTGTCTCTCTCCGTCGCCGCGGTGAGCGTCTCTCCATCCCCGCGGTGAGTGTCTCTCCATCCCCGTGGTGAGTGTCTCTCCATCCCCGCGGTGAGCGTCTCTCCATCCCCGTGGTGAGTGTCTCTCCATCCCCGCGGTGAGCGTCTCTCCATCCCCGCGGTGAGCGTCTCTCCGTCCCCGCGGTGAGTGTCTCTCCGTCCCCGCGGTGAGTGTCTCTCCATCGCCGCGGTGAGTGTCTCTCCGTCCCCGCGGTGAGTGTCTCTCCATCCCCGCGGTGAGCGTCTCTCCGTCGCCGCGGTGAGTGTCTCTCCGTCCCCGCGGTGAGCGTCTCTCCATCGCCGCGGTGAGTGTCTCTCCGTCCCCGCGGTGAGTGTCTCTCTGTCGCCGCGGTGAGCGTCTCTCCGTCCCCGCGGTGAGCGTCTCTCCATCCCCGCGGTGAGCGTCTCTCCATCCCCGCGGTGAGTGTCTCTCCATCCCCGCGGTGAGTGTCTCTCCATCCCCGCGGTGAGCGTCTCTCCATCCCCGCGGTGAGCGTCTCTCCGTCGCCGCGGTGAGTGTCTCTCCGTCCCCGCGGTGAGCATCTCACCGTCCCCGCGGTGAGTGTCTCTCCATCCCCGCGGTGAGTGTCTCTCCGTCCCCGCGGTGAGTGTCTCTCCATCCCCGCGGTGAGTGTCTCTCCGTCCCCGCGGTGAGCGTCTCTCTGTCCCCGCGGTGAGCGTCTCTCCATCCCCGCGGTGAGTGTCTCTCCGTCGCCGCGGTGAGTGTCTCTCCGTCCCCGCGGTGAGCATCTCACCGTCCCCGCGGTGAGTGTCTCTCCATCCCCGCGGTGAGTGTCTCTCCATCGCCGCGGTGAGCGTCTCTCCGTCCCCGCGGTGAGCATCTCACCGTCCCCGTGGTGAGCGTCTCTCCGTCGCCGCGGTGAGCGTCTCTCTGTCCCCGCGGTGAGCATCTCACCGTCCCCGCGGTGAGTGTCTCTCCATCGCCGCGGTGAGCGTCTCTCCGTCGCCGCGGTGAGCATCTCACTGTCCCCGCGGTGAGCGTCTCTCCGTCCCCGCGGTGAGCGTCTCTCCATCGCCGCGGTGAGTGTCTCTCCGTCCCCGCGGTGAGTGTCTCTCCGTCCCCGCGGTGAGTGTCTCTCCATCGCCGCGGTGAGCGTCTCTCCGTCCCCGCGGTGAGCGTCTCTCTGTCCCCGCGGTGAGCGTCTCTCTGTCCCCGCGGTGAGTGTCTCTCCGTCGCCGCGGTGAGCGTCTCTCCGTCCCCGCGGTGAGCGTCTCTCTGTCCCCGCGGTGAGCGTCTCTCCATCCCCGCGGTGAGTGTCTCTCCGTCGCCGCGGTGAGTGTCTCTCCGTCCCCGCGGTGAGCATCTCACCGTCCCCGCGGTGAGTGTCTCTCCGTCGCCGCGGTGAGCGTCTCTCCGTCCCCGCGGTGAGCATCTCTCCGTCCCCGCGGTGAGTGTCTCTCCGTCCCCGTGGTGAGCGTCTCTCTGTCCCCGCGGTGAGCATCTCTCCGTCCCCGCGGTGAGTGTCTCACCGTCCCCGCGGTGAGTGTCTCTCCGTCGCCGCGGTGAGCGTCTCTCCGTCCCCGCGGTGAGCGGCTCTCACAGTAGCAGCAGACCTCGACATTGGCATCTAGCTCGTGAACCACATTGCAAAGTGACTCGTAGATATACAGAAACTCGTGGAGACCCATAGAGACGCACAGAGAGTAGCATAGACAAGCCAAAGGAGTGCGACTGTGTGGCCATGCAACCCAAACTGTGGACCGCACAGTAACCCCACCGTGGTCTGCGCTCCTTCAACGGAGGAGGAACAGCGACACGACACGACCTCTCTCTCTCTCTCTGTCTGTGGTGAAGCCCTCTCTCTGTTCGTAGCCAGCAGCAGACTCCTACATTGGGGCCCTCTCGCTCCCGAGCCAGACTGCCAGGCGCAAGCAGCAGCCAGAGAGAGCGATAAGAGGTCAATAGAGACGCGATGAAGACTAGTGGCCGTGCAACTCAAACTGCGGACCGGATAATAAACCACTTTGTCCTGAAGTCCTCTCGTGATGGCCAGCAGCAGCAGCAGCAGACTTTGGGGCATTGAGCTCCTGAACGTACAGCTGCTGTCATCACGTGCAAGCATCGAATACAATTGTGTTGTCCGTTTTTGTTTAATAAACAGCGAAACCTTGGATCGCGAGCACAATTCGTTCCGGAAACGTGTTTGTAATCCAAAGAACTCGTATATCAAAGCGCTCGTATATCAGTTGTGATCACGTGACGCTCGGCAGACAAAGCGTATACGTACTACTGCTCGTATTGCAAGACCTCGCTCGTTTATCAAATTAATATTTATTTAAAAATTTTGCTCGTCTTGCAAAACACTCGCAGGCCAAGTTACTCGCAATCCACAAGGTGTTTACTGTGTATCTAAAACATATCTTTTGTTGTCCAAATATTGTTGTTGCCTTTCAGCATCAAAGTGAGCCTCTGCTTCACGTACGTGGCCAAGCCTGCATCCTACAGCCCACGGCTCGGTGAGATTTGACGGCGGAATTCGTCGTCATGCTCCCGGGAATGAACGCCGCGAACGGCGTCGAGTGAGATTTGCGCGCAGTACCCAAAGTCCCCGGATTGTAAGGCGCAACCCCCCCCCCCCCACCGTGTTTTTAAAAGCAAGCGTTTGTGGGTGTGTCTCGTTATCCGGAGAATGCGGCACTCTCCTTCGTTTACCCAGGAGAGCCTCAGTGAGGCTCGGGACTTTGTTTTGAAGCGGGTCCTCAAGGACCCCTGGGTCGAGCGAGCGGATGGATGGACGATCGCGTGAATGGGCGAGTGAGCGAATGAATGGGCGATAACGCGGTGTGCGAGCGAATGAATGGGCCAGTGAGCGAATGAATGGGCCAGCGAGCGAATGAATGGGCCAGCGAGCGAATGAATGGGCCAGCGAGCGAATGAATGGGCCAGCGAGTAAATGAATGGGCCAGCGAGCGAATGAATGGGCCAGCGAGCGAATGAATGGGCCAGCGAGCGAATGAATGGGCCAGCGAGCGAATGAATGGGCCAGCGAGCGAATGAATGGGCCAGCGAGCGAATGAATGGGCCAGCGAGCGAATGAATGGGCGAGTGAGCGAATGAATGGGCCAGCGAGCGAATGAATGGGCGAGCGAGCGAATCAAGTGGTGTGGCTGTGTCGTTTAAACCTCCTCCGCCCCCCCCCTCTCCCTCCCCCGTCAGTGCTGAACTTCACGGTGGAGGCGGAGGTGGAGCGGCGCCGGCTGGGCATGGCGCCGCGCGTCTCCTTCGTGCGAGGAGCGCGCGAGGCCGAGGTGCAGCGCGGCACGGTGGTCCTCAACGGGCAGAGCTCGCCCAAGTGCAGCGGCGACGTCGTCCTGCAGATCAACGTGAGCGAGGGCCGGGCGCCTGAGCACGCCCACGGGGGCCGAGCGGGACACGGGGGCATTGAGGGGCGGGGGGGTGGGGGGTTTGCAGACGCACGGACGGACGGGGGGGGGGAGAGGGGACACTCGGAGCCACGGGCACGCACACGCGGGCACACACACGCGGGCACACACACGCGGGCACACACACGCGGGCACGCACACGCGGGCACACACACGCGGGCACGCACACGCGGGCACACACACGCGGGCACCGGGGGGGGGACATGCACGACACATGCGGACGGGCATGGGAGGCACGCAGGCACGTGGAAGGAGAAAGGAGACGAACACACATCGATGGGTGGACAATACAGACGGGCAGACCCACACACACACACACACCAATAGATAAACTGACAGACAGTCGCATGGACGAATGGTCGGACACGCAAAACGCAGAGATCCCCCCGTACAGCCCGTAACAGACTGTAGGGGCAAGCGCTGTTAGCGAGCAGCACCTATGAAGGCCGGCACGGCACACGAGGGGGTGAGGGGCCAGCAACCACGCCTCTGTCTTCCCGGTAGCGATGGTTACAAACCGCACCAGGTGCTCATTTGAGGCTGTTGGCCGTGATGGGGTATCGAACTCGGCCCGCCGGGTTCATAGTCCAGCGCGCCATAACCACTGCGACACACGGAGTGATGCGCGGGTGCACACGTGCGCGCACGGACGAGCAAGGGGGACACGCGGATAAGGGAGATGACGGAGGCACGCACGCGCGGACACGTCGCGGCGACGTGACGTGTCCGCGCGTCGCCGTGGCGCTCGCAGGAAAACATCCGGGACAAGCTGCGACCCATCGTCGTCGTGGCCCAGTACGGCATCCAGGAGACTCGCGCCGCCCGGCGGGGCAACCGCCAGGAGCCGGGGGACGTCGCCACGCTGGACAGCCGCCCCGTGCTCGACCCCACGCAGCTCACCCGCGAGAAGCTCGAGGTCCGCTCGCCCGCTCGCCCGCTCGCCCGCTCGCTCGCCCGCTCGCCCGCCCGTTTGCCCGCTCGCTCGCCCTCCTGCTCGCCTTCCCGTTCACTTGCTCGCCCGCTCGCCCACTCGCTCGCCCAACCGCTTGCCCACTCACCTGCCCGCTAACTCGCTCACCCGTTTGCTCGCTCGCCCACCCGCTCGCTCGCCCGTCAACTCACCCACGCGCTCGCCTGCTCATATGCCCGGTCGCTTGCCCATCCGCTCGCCCACTCACTCACCCGCTCGCTCGCCCGCCCGCCAACTCACCCGCTCGCTCACCCACCCGCTCACCCGCTTGCCCGCTCGCTTGCCCTCCCGCTCGCCCACTCGCTCACACGACCCGGCCACATTTGTCTCCCCAGTAGCGATGTTTACACACTGCACCAGGTACTCATTAGAGGCTGAGTCGACCTCGGAAACCAGTAGACTAACACAGAGACCCACAGCCACACGTAGACAACCATAGACTCACGTAGATCAATCGACTCTCACCGGGATCAATAGATCAGCATAGAGACCCATAGACAGACAGCTGTTGCTGTCCCCGCGCCCCGTTTCTGTTTGGCGTTTGGCACATCAACGCTTCGTCAACCCCTTACCCCCCCCACCCCTTACCACCCCCCCCCACCTTGCCCCCCTCCCTCCCCCCGCGCAGGTGAACTTCTTGAAGGAGGGGTGCGGTAGCGACGGAAAGTGCCACAGCAACCTGCAGCTGAGGCCGTACTTCTGCTCCGAGGTGAAGGAGGGCGACTGCACCCTGCTGCCCACGTGAGTACCCCCCCTCCCCCCGGTAACGCACGCACGCACGTACACACGTACACACGTACGTGTGCCCTGTGGGTTTTAACTGCGCCTACGTTTGTGCGTGCGTGCGTGTGCCGTTCCGGCCTTCATAGGTGCTGCTCGCTAAGAGCACTTGCCCCAACAGCTCGTTAAGGCCATACAGGGGATCTTTATCTTTGCTCGATTCCCGTTCACGGGCAACACCCAGTGACGATTATTTGAACCGGTCCTGGGACTCCCCCTAGGTCGACTCAGCCTCAAATGAGTACCTGGTGCGGTGTGTAGTAAACATCGCCACTGGGGAGACAAAGGCGGCCGGGCGCGGTGCTGGCCACCCACCCCCTCGTGTGCCGTGCCGGCCTTCATAGGTGCTGCTCGCTAACAGCACTTGCCCCTACAGTCTGTTACAGGATACACGGGGGATCTTCATATGTGCGTGCGTGCGTGCCTGTGTGTGCGTGTGCTTGTGCACGTGTGTCTGTGCGTGTGCGTGCGCGTGTATGTGCGGTTAGCGCGCTGCGCTATGAACCTGGCGACCCGGGTTCGATTCCCGCTCACGGCCAACACCAGTGACGATTATTTGAACCGGTCCTGGGCCTCCCCTAGGTCGACTCAGCCTCAAATGAGTACCTGGTGCGGTGTGTAGTAAACATCGCCACTGGGGAGACAAAGGCGGCCGGGCGCGGTGCTGGCCACCCACCCCCTCGTGTGCCGTGCCGGCCTTCGTAGGTGCTCGCTAACAGCACTTGCCCCTGCAGTCTGTTAAGGCTATACGGGGGATCTTTGTCTTTGTCGCGCGTCCCCAGCGACGAGACGGGGGCCCAAGTGCTGTCCCTGCGCTCCCAGAAGGACGTCACGCTGGGCATGGACATCAGCAACGAGCCGTCGAACCCCGCACGGCCCGACCTGGACGGGCACGACGCCCACGATGCCCACCTCTCCATCCTCATCCCCAGCGCCATCACCTACACCGGCTTCCGCAACGCCGATAGAGCGGTGAGCGTAAGCCGCATCACAAACCCCCTCCTCCTCCTCCTCCTCCTTCCCCTCCTCCCTGCTCCTCCTCCTTCCTCTTCCTCATCCCCCCCCCGCCGCCCCCTCCTCGTCCGTCCCCATTGGCGTCAGTGCCATCGTCATCGTCATCATCATCGTCATCATCGTCATCATCATCGATGACGGTTGGCGTATTGACCTTCGTTGTCATCGTCGTCACGATCATTAGCGTCACCATCATTGTCGTTGTCATTACTGTCATAATCACCATCATCGTCATCATTGTTGTCATCGTCATCATCCCCGTCGTCATCATCATTATTATCATCATCATCATCACAATAATTACCTATTGTGATCAGCTGCCTACTCTTGTAGCTGCTGCTGCTGCTGCTGCTGCCGTGTCTCCAACTGCAGTCTCTTGCTGATGATCCTGACGACGACGACGACGACGTTGTTGACGATGCAACTGCCGCCGCCGATGCCGATTGCCGACGATGCTGACGACGTCGCCCGCCCCTTGCCCCCTCCCCCAGGTGTCGTGCACGCCGCTCAACGACAGCGCCACGGAGTGCGAGCTGGGGAACCCATTCAACAAAGGGCAGAGGGTAAACACCACAACGACCTTCGCCAACTCTCGCCGCGGCCGCGGCCGCGATATACGGGCGGTCTCTGCTTCGGAGCCCGTGTGAAGCGTGCACGCGGTCCGTCTCGGCCCCGTGTTGGCGTGGCGCGCCGTTGACGCTCCCTTCCGTCTCCGCTCCCGCAGACGAAGCTCTTCATCCTGCTCGGCACGTTGCTCATCACCACGGAAACCACGGAGTTCGCCGTGGAGCTGAGGCTGAGCACGTGAGAGTCCCCGCCCCGCCCCCACCCCACCCCCTGCCCCCCCCCCCCCACTCCCCTCCCCCCTCTCCCCACCACCCTGCCCCCCGCTCCCCCCAACTCCACCCCCTCCCCCGGGGGACCCTGCCCCACTGACCGGCCGGCAGCGTCGCCCCGCACGGTGGCGGCCGCGTCGCCCCACTCCGCCACTCGGAGTCTCCGGCACGACTCGCAACCGCCGGCACGGTGGAGCCGCCGGCACGGTGGAGTTGCCGGCACGGTGGAGCCGCCGGCCCGGTGGAGCCGCCGGCCCGGTGGAGCCGCCGGCACGCCGGGCCGGTTCGACTCCACGTCCCCCGGCACGGGGGCGGTGTAAGGACGGAAGGAAGGCCGTGGTCGCCGCTCACGGAGAGAGACAGAGAGAGAGAATCACAATTTAGATTGAGGTTGTGACGCTTGCCACTGCTCCCCGTGTGGACGTGGTGTGACGCTCCCCGTGTGGACGTGGTGTGACGCTCCCTGTGTGTACGTGGTGTGACGCTCCTCATGTGTACGTGGTGTGACGCTCCTCATGTGGACGTGGTGTGACGCTCCCTGTGTGTACGTGGTGTGACGCTCCTCATGTGGACGTGGTGTGACGCTCCCCGTGTGGACGTGGTGTGACGCTCCTCGTGTGTACGTGGTGTGATGCTCCCTGTGTGTACGCGGTGTGATGCTCCTCGTGTGGACGTAGTGTGACGCTCCCTGTGTGTACGTGGTGTGACGCTCCTCATGTGGACGTGGTGTGACGCTCCTCGTGTGTACGTGGTGTGATGCTCCCTGTGTGTACGTGGTGTGACGCTCCCCGTGTGTACGTGGTGTGACGCTCCTTACGTGGACGTGGTGTGACGCTCCCTGTGTGTACGTGGTGTGATGCTCCTTACGTGGACGTGGTGTGACGTGGTGTGATGTTTGTGTCACAGTGCCAGTGACCAGCAAACCCTGCAGCCGATTGTGGCGCGTCTCCTCGTGAGAGTAGAAATCCAGCTCTCCATCACAGGGTGCGTCACCATCGCAATCATCACCATCATCGCGACCAGCGTCACCATCAGCATCACGACTAGCGTCACCGTCATCACCAACAACATCACCATCATCACGACTAGCATCACCGTCATCACCAACAACATCACCATCATCACGACTAGCATCACCGTCATCACCAACAACATCACCATCATCACGACCAGCGTCACCGTCATCACCAACAATATCACCATCATCACGACTAGCGTCACCGTCATCACCAGCAACATCACCATCATCACGACCAGCGTCACCATCATCACCAACAACATCACCA